ATATATATATATATCTTCCACGTGTCTTATTTTTTTAGTTTTTTCGTATCCTCGTATATGTTTATGTCGTATTTTGTGTCGTGTCCGAATCCAAATCCTTAAAAAAGAATGTCAAATAGAGGTTAAAATGTGTACCTGAACTCGCAAGGAGCTAGACTCTTCAACATATATTTAGTCTCAATAAGGGTTGCACCCTTCATCACGTATCTAACCTTCCATAAGGATGAGCATGTATTTGACATCGCCAATGGCTGGACCCTTCAACATACAGGATGCCATATGTGTGCATATCTAATAAATATATAATCTGAATTAGGGATGACAAAAATATCCGGCACCCGTGAGTATTTATGGGTAAAATTTGCTACGGATAATAAATGGATAGGTTAATTAGGTACTCGCAGATAACAAGGACAGATAATTTTTTACCCGTTTATAAACAGGGCGGGGACATGTATGATGATATTCATACTTGTGGGTAGCCGTTTAATAATATTTTTAAATATCCTAATTATCCTTGTACCACGTAACCTTAAAATTATGCTTTCATCTTATTTTCTTACAAAAGTGAGGTTGATGAAGTTACCAACATGTGTTAAACATGTTATAGAATTATGTTAAATGTAGTTTGATTAATTTTCTAGCTTTGATTTGACTAATAAGATTTATGTATTTTAAATTATTTACTTTCGTTTGAAATTATGAGATTGAATTATTGTAACTTTGTGACGAGACTTTAACTTACTTGTGAGATTGATGTATTTTAAGTTATTGATTATCTTGCATTTTTATTATTATTTCAAAAAATTAACATTAAATACAATTTCAAAATTAACACTGAATTTTTATTTTTAATATTTCAATGACATTAAATATAAACTTAAAATTATTTATAATTTTTTTAAAATTTTTTAAAAAATTTATAAATATTCATGGATATCCATGAATATCCGTAGGTATTTAAGAAATTCATGAATACCTGCGCGAATATAGGATGAATATGAGACTAATTTTCATCTAACGAGGTGAGTGCGAGTTTACTACTACCTGTCCTCCTGAGCCCCATTGTCATCCCTAACCTGAACTAATGAGGTGAATTACCTATACAAGCATTCAAATTCAAACCCTTAAGAACTTGAGAAACCTAAGTCACCCTAGTTGCTTAAAGTTCAGGTAGGGATTACTTAGTTTGTTAAACACAACTAAATCATCATCAAGGTTTGATTACCTGTTAAAGTTTATATAAATAAGATATGAGTCTAAATGTAGTTATAGTTCATTTACTCATTTACTACTAACATTTATTGTTCTCTACCAAACTCTTACTTGAGTATTGATGTGTAACTTTATATAGGTACCTCAAAGCTCTTTAGAAGACATGTTACCCACAGATGAGGTAGATGAATTTGTATAAATCCCTAATACAATTTTTTTTATCCTAAACTTTTAATTTCAATTATTTTATTATCAAACGAATCGTTCAAAATCCTCTTAATATCTATATCTTAGAAAACTTTACATCCTCGTAAATTTGACTGGGCATTTAGATAGTAATTATATTAAACGATACCAAATCTAAAAGTTAACCAATCTCTTCACGGATGAACGATCTTAAAGGCATTAGATTGAAATCAACCCGTTTGCTTAATGTTACATCCTGTAGTACAATAATGGCATCCTCCAAACGTGGCCCAAGTCATTCGACTGTCTCGCATTATCTTTTTGTCTCTTGCCATAATTATGTCCACTCTCGACCAAGATTTCTTCATCAATCCTTTGGGATGCGAGCATCATTCCCCTACATCCTTTTCTCTTCATCTATGACTTCATGCTATCAAACCCTCAAATATTGTCACGTGAATCAATCACTAATAGGTAATAGCTCCATGAACAATCATTAGAAAGAATATATGGACGATGCTTAGTTATACGATGGGATCATATTTAAATTAATCAAATGATAACAAGATGTGTTGAGAGGAGAATCCCATGTTAATTTCCTATTCGTGCGAACCTATTGACACTGATTTAGTACATATATAATGTCTATATGTGGTAAAGAGACAAATCTAAGTGGTGCCAGAATATGCATAATGCATAAGTGTCCATTTGTTTTATTTTAAGAGTTAGATCCAATGTATTAAAATTAATTTGGGGAGAATTAAATTGCTAATTATATAGTAAGTTTAAGTTAAGTTAAAACTCACGGTTTAAAATAGTATCAAAACTTTCCTAAATTTATTAAAAGGATCACTCTCCATTTTTTTAATATATATATGTTGGACATAAAAATATATATTAAAAAAACTCAAATCTCGTTTATTTTAAATCATTTATCACACATTAAGTCTAATAGCATTGATATAAAAAACTGATTTGGAATAAATTTAAATTCAACATCTCACTTATAGATACATCACACTTGCTAACATATGATCACTTATTTTTTAATTGAATTGTGTTAGCAAATTATAACCAACATTATTTTGAATTACAATTATAATATAACTTACTAACATAGTCCAACAAAGGAGTTAAAATATAAAACAAAAAAGTGCCTTAAATAGTTAAAATTCAAAATATGGATTAGAAGAACACTTTAATCAATTAAAAAACATATTAATTGATTATTGATATGATTTTACTATGAAAAATCAGGATTGACAGCAATAATTGATTATTACAAAGGGCATAATTGATTATTCTCAACAAGGACTCAATAATAATCAATTAAAACGTTCATGATTAAAATCTAAATTTAGAAATAATCAAAATAATTGATTATCATTAGTGGATAATTAATTATCACGAATAGTAACTATAAATAATTGTTTTGCTATTGACATGTCTGGCTCTCGCAAATAAATTTTCAAAATCTTTAGAAAACACTATTAGATTAAAATTCAACATTATAAGGATAGTTCATTACTTTTCAAGAATGTTACTCAAATTGGATAATGAATCATTTATAGGAGCAAGAAGAGTCATCAAAAAGTGTAAATTAGTTTGTTTTTCATTGGAAGATTTATCTATCATGAATACTCACTTGATAATGTTCTTTTTTTTATATTTCATTTTTTTAGGGGTTATCTCAAGGGTGATTAATAGCTTCTCTAAAAGGGATATCAAGAACTTGAGGAGTCAAGTGTCTTAATTAAAATTTGGTTTTCATGTAATAAAATCTGTGTAAACTAAATTTTGTGATAAGCGGATGTAAATCTAGAAGATCAAACTAATATAAACTTGTGAGAGAATCTTTATTAAACCCTCATCTAATAATTGATGATAAAGATAAAGTTGATTTTTAATTAATTGGTGTATATTAAAAAAAAAGTGTGTTCTTACCACAATAAAATATTAATAAAACTTGCATGATAAAATTATTAAAATTAAACTCTCCTTTTATTTATTATATATAAAATTGATGACGATTTGTAATTGATGGTTCACGACAAAAAGTAGATGACATGTGAGTTTTGACCATTCCTTAACTGGCTTTTAACATTTGGTGACATAGGATTGCGAGCTACATTAGCATTGAAGCATTCAAACAACAAACTCTTACTATACATATAACACCTTCACGCTGCCACCACTCTCCAAACTTTTCTAGTTCTAGACAACCCCAACACATGGAACCAAAGTGCACCACCATAAACTGTCGCCGCCCGGACTTTGTTCCGACCCCTCTGCCGGAGAGCCCTCGAGTGCCCATGGAGTTTCTCTCACGCTCATGGAGTGCCTCAGCTCTTGAGGTCTCCAAAGCACTCGCACCTCTCTCTTCTTCCATGACCAATTCCAACAACAACACTTCCATTCCCGAAGAAACCACTTCCAACAACAACAACAACAATATCTCTTTCTCTGATGACTTCTCAGCAATGTCTAAAAACCACTTCCCTTTCGCCTCCTCTGCCACCTCTCAGCTTGTCCTGGAACGCATTATGTCACAGTCTGCAAGAGAGGTGTTTAAGCTTACAACTGCTAGTTATTATATTCTACATGGACATTGTCTTTAATCTTCATGTTAATGATGTGTGCTTAATTTTGTTATTAACTATGTCACAGGAAGTGTCTCCGTTAACTTCAGGTAGGTTGTCTCACAGCAGCGAGCCTTTGAATGGTGGTGGTTCCTTAACCGGAACAGATAGCCCCCCAATTTCACCTTCAGATGAATTTGACGACCTTGTTAAGGTATCCTTTCACATTCTCTTTTCCTTTTCAAGTGGGGTGGGTCCCAAAGGAGCGAGTTAAGAAAAAAAAATGGTTTTTGTTAATTCTTATTTTAATGTGGAAATTGGAAAAACTACATTTCTTTTGTCTTCTCTGATTAATCTTACAAGACAAGACATGGAAGAAGATTCTCTTCTTAAAAGACAGAAAATAATTAACAATGTAAAAGATTTTGCAAAAACAGAATGGTGGGGCCCATCTGTGTCCCTATAGGGTGGTTGATTCAGTGCCGCGTATAGCTTATGCTAGCTTCTATGGTGTGGATGCATGAAAGAATGGTCTCTGTTGATAAAAATAATTCGTTGGAACTTGGTGCTTTCTGCTTGAGGTGAGACCATGAGAGTTTAGTAACTAGGATCAACTTTTTTCTTCCCCATTCTGCAAAGAAAAAAGAGTGTGGAAAGAAAGGGAAAAATGGGAACTAGAGCTTTGAATATGAATTGATGAGGGTCATGTATGTATGTCTCAATGACAATGACATTTACATTTTGAAACCAGCAAAGTGCTGAAATGTGTAATGACGTTAATGCTGATCAAAGGAGAGTGTGTCGTGTGTTAAATGTTAATGGTGTTATGTATTCAAGTCAACTTTCCCGATTTGTGGATTTTGTTTGCTTCACAACAGGTCAAACACAGTGCCCCTTCTCTCTGAATTCACGCAAACAACTTAAAATGGGAAAAATGTGGTTGATTTGGCCTTTGGAAAGAACAAAGAAAAAATGAGTCTTGGAGTTGTTAGTTTAAGATGGATATAGGGTGTATTGTCGTACCTTTGATTTTGTTTGTTTTGTTTTCCTTCACTGCTGAAACTAATCAATGAAAACCAGCATATGTTGTGAGGAAAAGACATGCGCCAGTGACTGGAGTGACAGCGGTTAATGTTGTCAGCAGTTGAATGATATGTTTTTTTGAAATGAAAGAGGAAACAGCTCCATAATTTTAAATCAATACAAGTACACAACATGACAGACTAGCATGTTGTTTTCTTGTTCTAAAATAGGAAAATCAAAACAAGTTGAATATGAAATTACTCAAGAGTTTGTTTGTTTTCACCATGTAAAACACAAAGTGTAACACTTATGGTTAACCTTATCAATGTGCATGCAGTTTTTTGGGGCAAACCATTCCATTCACCATTTATTCAATGGAGGACGAGCCAGTGCAACTATTGGCAACGGCACTGCTTGCTCAGGGCCTAAAACAGTTGGAAGATGGTTGAAGGAAAGAAGAGAAAAGAAGAAAGAAGAAAACAGAACTCATAATGCTCAGCTGCATGCTACTATTTCAGTTGCTGCAGTGGCTGGGGGGGGGGG